CTACCAGGAGGACTTTATTAATTTGAAATCGATCGCAAATATCTGCGTGCACGCAAAGTTGCAGCAATTTGTTCGTATACGCAACTTTTTATGTGCGAATAGCTTTATTTGAAATTGACATCAGACGTGTGCATCTCTACTTGCGAGCACGCAAATAATGCACTCGCTCGCTGCGTTGCCAGTTTTCTTTTTACAAAATGTTAAAAATCTACCACATAAAAATGAGGGGATTTTTGAATTTTATGATATTTTGGCTGACGCTGACGTATATTTTACGATGACATTTACTTATTATGATTTTTTTGATGTTTTGCGGTTAGAATTTTTTCAAATATGTTTCGTGTTTCTTTATTACCAATTTACCACAAAAAAGGAATACTATTTCACCAAGCTCAGTTTCTACAGATAGAAAAAAGAGCTCAGCAAACGCATATGCAGAGGAAAAAAGGCTTTTTGTCCAGTTTGTCCGAGAACGCTCTAACCTTTACCAAAGAGTCAAGTAAAAACATGTGGCAAGAAGCCTCAGCGGTATTAAATATGGTGCCCGGTGGCAGAAGCTCTTCTTGGCGCCACCAAATAGCCACCTATAGTAACCATATAGGTCTTCAAAAGTAGCTTAATTTAGCCGATTTTTTTTTGCCCTGATAAATTGTTCTTTCACACCTAAATACAAATCCAGGTGCAATGTTTGTATTTAGAGGTAGATGTCACATGTGTTTATATTGTTGAAATTTCATAAGATGTCAATGTCGGTGTCAGACTGTCAGTCGAAATTCCATTTTTGTCATATTTTTACCCCTTCTTTTTTCAATAATTAATGGTTCAAAATAAAATAGTATACATAATTCGGTGAAAAGTTTTCACATTATTGTCTCGAGAATTGGTTGACCTCGGCGCTTCGCACCTTGGTCAACCATATTATCTCTCGACAATATTGAAACACTTTCCACCTCCTCATGTAATATTCTATTACATGCTGGATCAGACACAGAGTTCGTGGCAAATGCGAGTCTCATTTTCAAATCTGGGTCCAAGTCCGGTGATTACCATGACGCTATGAATGCTGAAAATTTCGAAAAATGGTTCCAGGAACCATTACTCCCAAATTTAGAAGAGCCTTCCCTCATAGTTTCCCAAATCAAGTTGGTCTAAACAAATCCTTTTAAGATGGCTACAAGATAGAAATATCGAATATCCGAATACACCCATGTAAATAGAATTATGAAATATAGTTAAAAAGTCTCTACCAGAAAAAAAAATATATGTAACCTCACCAGTAGTCGATTCTCGAATTTGATAGAAGTGAACGTTCCCCTTAAGAGAAGTGAGAGATCAAATCGCACGCTCGTTCTCTTGGTGCCAAAGTTGGTATTCTCGAATGTATGGGATTATGATAGAATGAGAGAAAACTTGTCAAATCATAATGCCTTGTTGCCAACAGTAATATGTAGAATTAGCCACAATTTTAGTGTGTTAAAAGGACGAATGTCATGAGAAAGAAGAAAATCTGAGGTTTTATTCGTTTTATTTGTGTTTTGGGACGTAACCTCATTCTTTGAAAGAAATGCTCATTGAATTTGTAAGACAAAATGAGAAACTTCAAAGTGGAAAATTTACCTCCGATTTTACCATAGTTTTTAATGATGAAGTTCTAGTTGGAGCATGTATAAAAGGTGTCAATAAATCAATTAAATTTCGAGCAGGATCTTTCAACCACTGAAAAATATGTCAGTGCTGAGCTTAAAAAATGAAAATTTAGCAGCCGGACGTCTGCTAGGCATATGGAAAATTAATTTTCCTCTTGCAGAAAAAAATAGGTTATTTTTTCAATTTCTCTTTCATGGCATTTTAACACATTAACATTGTAGAACAATCTAATAGTGAAAAACCAAAGCCATAAGGTTTGCACGTACTGAAAGGGTTGAAAAAGGGGCGCGATGTTGTGAAAGAATATTTGATGGCTGATAGTTTTCTCGCTTATGGCAATCGACAGAATCAAATTTGATATCGGTAGGAACCGGAAAAAAAAATTCCCATAAGCCGGTCAGCTGTTGAGGTATACGACGTAACGTTACGGTTAAGGCCGCTGCAAAAGGAAAGAACATTTTCCATATGCCTAGCAGACCTCCGGTCGCTAAATTTTAATTTTTTGAGCTCAGCACTGACATAATTTTCAGTGGTTGAAATCCCCGAAGAGAGTCAGCAAAATATGTTAGCTGACTGTCTATTATAGGCCTCTCTTCTTGCTCTTCTGCATCTAGTAGATCATTCAGTACAAGAATTCTTCCTATAACCCCAGCTTCCATGGTTTCCCACGTTCGTATTTACCCAATTGGCAATTGCGGATAAATGATTTGCAAAACAAACAAAAAAATACCATGGATGATGACTGTAGAATTGACAAAAAGCGCGTGTTTGACGTTTGGTTCTCCTGAGAACAGACGTTCTCTACAAAAAAGGTAGTAGAATAAAATTTTCCCAACTTTCATAAGAAGTGAACGGTCCCTAATTTCGAGAATACATCGTAATATATTTTAATAGAAACCACGCGTACTTTTCCTATGAGAACAGGGATCACACGATTCGAGAATCGCCGTCCTGCTGTTAGGTATTATCCGTTCACAATCCGATGTCCACTGGTACCGGTAAAGTTTATCACCTTTCAATGCTATTTGATAGGGAAAGGTGATAAATCTACCTGCACCTGTGGACATCGGATTATGAACAGGATATAATTAATAGTACGTAAGTACCTATGTAGGTAGAGCGTGCGGTAATAATAATACCGCACGATTGAAGATAAAATAATAAAAATGTACAAGAAGTTTGCCTATTTTAATTCACTGAGAAATGTAAAAATGTTCAATTCTCATTGATTTTCGCCTCAATCACTTATTTGAATCAGATGTTGTCACAGTGATAATTATTAATGGTTCTACAATCTTTTCTGCGAGGTTTTCTAGGTTCCACATATTTTGTTCTTCCTTTATCACATGGTTTACAGCATTGCTCCACTTTTCTGCATTTAGGTGATTTAACGACGTTCTTAACAATAGGGTAGTGGACAAGGTATAATTTCAATGAAATCGATTATCTCTTCTTCATCTATGAAGTAAATAAAAAATATTCGTATCAAAACAAATTTTAGAAAAAATTACTAACTTTGTTTAAAACGGTTGTAAAAGTAGAGTTTTGGGGCGCACTATTTAAACGAAAATATTTCGCGCCTTGATTCTACGTCATAGCTGCTGTATTTGAGTATGAATTAAATCAAACCTACGTTCAATATTCGACACAATCTTATAGACCGGTGCATAACGACCATTTTTTTAAAACGATTTTCTCCCATCTGCCATTAAGGGTGGTTATTCTTCATGCAATAAAAAGTGGAATGGCTGAAATTTCAAAGAGCCCCGCGTGTGACAATACAATGATACGCTAATCTGAAAATGTAATGAAAAGTGGAGATTTGGATCAATATTATCCCGTCTGCCACACATTGTGAGGGTTATTAAAACAAAAATTAGTAGAAGGAAGCTAAACGGCGGAAACCCTAGTTTAGTATAAAGTGTCATATTACGAATTTTAAAATGTCGCCAAAATCGGACATGTGGATCAACGACTTCCCGTCTGCCAAATTAAAGTTATGTTATATTTACGATTTAATACATCAATAAGTAGATGGCAGAAAATCTCGGTTGGTATAATAATATTTAACAATCTGTGAAGTTGTATCAAAATGCTGAGATGTTGAAACAATTTTCTCCCGCCTAAAACATGTTTTGTTACAATGGATTTTAGATAAATAATAACGGCAGAAAAATTGAAGTGGTACAGATATTTATTTTTAATTTTTCAAAATGTCAAAATTTCTCAAATTTGAGATCAATTATTTCCCGTCTGCCATTAATTTATATTAAATAAGTTGCTACCAAAAGCTTAAGTTTTGACTGGCAGAAATTGCAGACTGGTACAAGTCCTAATAAACAATGAACAAAATTGCGACAAAAATTGTTTATTTTCAAACGTCATATAAGAGTAATTTTTGTGATCATTTTGATAAGGTATAAGTGTCACTTCAATGACTTTCAGCTTGAGCGGCGTATAAGTGTTATACTCCGTCGGAGTATAACATTTATACGCCGTTACACATGTTTTTCCATAGCCATTTAAGGTAGTTCACCTGTACATACAGGTATAGGTGCGTATAAAGGTGATCCTTCTAAATATGAATGTCATAATTTAAATTAAAAATTCTGCACTATTCGGAATAAAGATTGTTTGGGAATAAAATATTGAATTTCATTCGGAGTATAAGTATTCTTCATGTGACTTGCATGGATTTTTTCAAACTTCCATGCGCGTCACATTAGTATTACTTATACTCCTAATAAAATAACAGATATTTATTTTATTAGGAGTATAAGTAATACTCCTAATAAAATAATAGATATTTATTTTATTAGGAGTATAAGTAATACTTATGTGACGCGCATGGAAGTCACATGAAGAATACTTATACTCCGAATGAAATTCAATATTTTATTTTCAAGCACCTATACCTGCATGTACAGGTAAACTACCATAAATCGCCATGGAAAAACATGTGTAGCGGCGTATAAATGTTATACTCCGGCTGAGTATAACACTTATATGCCGCTCAAGCAGAAAGTCATTGAAGTGACACTTATACCTTGTCAAAATGATCACAAAAGTACCTGTTATATGACGTTTGAAAATAAATATCTATTATATGATGAGCGTTTTTAACCCGTCTGCCATTTGGTTAAGTAAAATAAAGTTATGAGAATATGCATATTTTCAATATGGCAGAAACCACAATAAGTTACATAAGTTGCACATATGGTTGTTAAATTTTCTCCCGTCTGCTAACTTAATTGAATAGAGTTACTATCAAACTGAATACTTATCAAAAGGCAAAATGTCTGCTTATGTACAAATATTTGAAATCTCACATACAAGTTTTTTTTTTTTTTGCAATGCCTATCACACATATAGGTTTTTCTGATGAGGATGAAAATGAAGAAGAAATTAATGAAAACGAAGATTTTGGCGATCTATCAGATTTGGATGACGGCAATAATGATGATAATAATGGAAAAGTTGTGATGGAGGTGACTCTGAAGTGATAGATAACAATGAAAACGATGATGATGCTGATGATAATAATGACGTGCTGTTTTTGATGATGTTGATGATTAAAACATTTTTTTTTTTCTAAAGATACAATTTTTTATTGTTTTGCCTTATCATATTTAGGTATCTTGAGAGCTACTTTCATTTTAATTACCCGGTTGTCAGACGGGAGAAAGTTGTTTGGACACATAAACATTTTTCGCAATTCAACAATAATTGTGCAATGTATGTAGCTAATTGCGGTTTCTGCCATATTGAGAATATGCATATTCTCATAACTACATTTCACTGAAACAAACGGCAGACGGGTTAAAAACATTCATGATATGAACAATTTTTGTTCCAATTTTGTTCATCAATTATAAGAACTTGTATCAGCCTGCAATTCCTGCCAGTCGAAATTTAAGCTTTCAGTAGTAGCTAATTTAATATAGATTATTGGCAGACGGGAAAAAATTGATCTCAACTTTGAACAATTTTGAAATTTTTATTGTTTCTGCCAATTGTTAATATACCTTGGATACATCTGCCAATACATTTCTTGGATTTTACTTTGCATGTCAAACTTATCTTCCAAATGGCAGATGGGAGAAAATTGTTTCAACATCTCAGCATTTTGATACAACTTCAAAAATTGTTAAATATTATTATAACAAACCAGATTTTCTGCCATTTCCTTATTGATCTCATACATCGTAAATGTAACATAAATTTAATTTGGCAGACGGGAGTTCGTTGATCCACATGTCCAATTTTGGCGACATTTTGAAATTAGTAATATGACACTTTATACTAACCTAGGGTTTCCGCCGTTTAGTTTCCTTGTACTCATTTTGGTTTGAATTACCTTCACAATGTGTGGCAGACGGGATAATATTGATCCAAATCTCCACTTTCCATTACATTTTCAAATTAGCATATCATTGTATTGTCACACGCGGGGCTTTTTGAAATTTCAGCCATTCCACTTTTTATTGCATGAAGAATAACCACCCTTAATCGCAGACGGGAGAAAATCGTTTTAAAAAAATGTTCGTTATGCACCGGTCTAGTACTCATTAGTGCAAAAAAGAGAGATATGTCAGCGTCGGTCAGGTATCATTACATCTAGGCGCACACTCAACATAACCCCACTTTTTCAGAGATTTCCATTTGTCAATCAGTGCGCACTGAGTTTATCGGCATCTTTTTCTAAAACCATGTAAAATATAAGGACGCGCGGACTGTGCTCTCGCCACTCTCATTAATGTCGGAATGCCTTGACGCTATTGGACATAACAGCTGTGACGTAATTTTTAGGCGGTAAATTATAGCGTTTAAAAAAAGTAGAAATTTATTATCATTTTTTACGCATGTTTTTGTTTCCTAAAATCAAAAAATCATCAATTAGTGTTCATTTTGTTATGAAGATTAATAAAAAAAATATTTCAAAAAATTGTTTACTACCCTATTCTCGTACATCTTGTCATTTGAAGGTGTTGTTATTTCTTGCTATAAATCCTTCCACATAAGCCCATATGTTACTTCAATCGGTTCTAATTCCCAATATTAGGGTAGCAAGCGAAGTATAATTAATTATATCCCGTTCCTTAGCCATTATTCATTATTCATCAACATGTCTTTTGAACTGCGATTTCTTTCTTTAGCTATTTTAAAAGCATCTTTTTCAAGAATATCCTTTTCATAGGGTATTACTTAATTTTTCAATTTAGGTTATCTTCTTTCCACTAGGAACATGAGGGTAATTTTTCTGCTAGTCTGGAATGATAGCTGGCAGTGTACATGATAATGTCGGAACCTTTATTAATTGATGGTATCATTTCAGAAAAGCTGTCTTCACAAACATCGGCCGTCATTCCTTCATGGTAATCGCTTGTTGATTTTGATTGGAATTCAGAGAAACCTCCATTTGAAAAGACTATCTCTAGCAAAACTCACTTTGCGTGCAAATGAAATACGTCGCAAAATGGCTGTTTTTTTGTACACAATGTAAATAAACGCTCGTTTCACAACTTGTTACGTACAGCTATTTCCCCACGGATATCGGTACGGAAAATTGATTTTCCGACAGACTCCTGCGGAAAAAATCATTTTTTGTACTTGTTAGGTAAATAGCTATTCTCGCATCAAATCTCGGAGTTAATTTAAGAAGAATTAGTCCGACTGGACATGAAGAATCCTAATAAAAAGTCTCAACGGCAAGTATTCATGCATTTTTTCAGATCTTGGCCCAAGGACATGTCCTTGAAGGGCGTGATATGCTATTTTAGGAGTACACTTGGAGTTTCTGTTCCTGCAGGCGATGAGTGGTCACTTTGCGACTCAATTACATATACTATTTTTTTTTTTAGTTGAGGGCAGCTCAAATTCAAATTATGGAAGGCGAAACGACTTTACAAACATTCCAAAAACGTGTAGAAGCGAAAAAGGAAAAGGTAGCTCTGTTGAACGCGGAATTGGACAGGGCTAGAGCTGCTAGAATTTATTTGATCCACAATAAGCAGCTTCAGTTTGTGCTACGAAGAGGTTTGGTTGAAATACCATTATCAGGGGATTTGTATAAGGATTTTCGGGATGCTATCCTGATTCCTAAAACAGAAATTGAAGCGGTTAATAATCTTATTAATGTAAGTACCTAGACCTACGTATCCAAATATAGAGTACACTTAAAGAAAATGCTTGGTCTTCTTTGTCAGGCGAGGTTTGCATTGAGGGTTGACCAGTCACGGTTCATCAATGAGTTATCATAATTGGCTGGCATCCTATTAACTAACTCTGGGTCGTATGAATAAAAACGAAGTACTTGCTACTACTACAAGTATTAGTATGTTCTACGTAGTATTTACTTCAAAACGAAGTAGATACTACATTTCTAAACTACCGGAAATTAGTAAATGCTTCTTTGTGAAGTAGATACTTCGAAGAATATACTAATACTTGTAGTACTAGCATGTACTTCGTTTTTATTCATACCACCCTCTGTGTATTCAAGATCTTAATGATGCAAAGTACTTATAGACCCTGAGATAGGGCCTGTTTAGTGGAGTCATTTTTTTTTGTCTGGCATTTTGAGGGATGAATGTGGCTAGTTAGCTGATGAGAATATAAGTGGTTTTAATGCCTGCCTCCTGTTCGAAATGTCCACAGAATGTTTCGCCCGAAAATCCGATTTCGAACTGTGATTACCGTCTGGCGATTTTTCAGCGTTATTTTCAAAACAAAACCTTTCATTCTCCCGATTGCCAGACAAAAAGTAAACGCGGAAGGTTCTTTCCTTTTCTCTTGGAAGTTAACACCCATCCCCATTCTTTCAGCTATTGAAAAGCATCTGATATTTTTCATGGGTGAATTATTTATCAATGTCAATCTTTTATTTAAAAGCCAGAAAATTTCAGATCATTAAAAAAAAATCTTCATGTAAATCAATTTTTTTCTTCTGCAAATTTTCGAACAGGAGGCCGGCATTAAAATCACCCATATTCTCATCAGCTTAGTAGCCAAATTCAACCCTCAAAATGCCAGACAAAAAAAAAATGACTCCACTAAACAGCCCCTATCTCACAGTCTAGCTTGCATATTGTATTCCTTTTTATAGCTTCCACGCGGCGTCGCCAGTTAGAGCTTTGCATTTAATTTCGACGGTCCGAATTTAAATATTTTAAAACGAAATTTTGTAATAGTTTTGATTTGCAATAAATTTACTCACAACCTGATCATAATAATAGCAATGCCAATCAAGGAAAACCAGAACCACAACAGCAACAATTCCGATTTACTGGTCCAAGAGGAAATTTCGGATTTAATAACTATATACACCAAATCAGTTTAAACATCCTTTTCCATCGCAAACTATTAACATAAGACCGAATGCAAACATTCGCCACAAAAATTCTTTTCTAATTCCTAAGTTTCTGGTAAGCCAAAACCAACAAATGTATTCAGACAAAATCCTGGTACTTTTTTGGCGTACCCTGTATACCTATGGCGACTAAAAAATATCATTGTAGCGATTAAGATCGTTGCAATTAACCAATTTAAACATGCCCTTTATTTTCAATAATACAAAAGTTACTGAGTGTTCCAGCTATAAAGAAACACCCTGTACGACCCACACTGTAAGAGCTTATTACGTAAACATTGTTTCGCGAGGGTTCATACTTTTGTCTTACTTTCTTAACAAATAGAACTTGACTGAAGCAAATCAATGACGCCAAAAACGTTCGTCGGTTCTTAAAGCAGACGCCATTAATTTTAATTTATCAAAAAAATTGAATCTATCATATGAATTAATCTACATCTCTTTTTTTTTAAGTTATGACGTGTTCGATATCAAAAGTATGAACTCTGGTGAAACGATCTGTAACTCATTTTAGCCTGTTTGAGTTACGTAATAAATTGTACCTATTATCGTATTAGTGATGTAATGAGCTCATTACGTAACTGATTTTTATTTAAAAACGACACTTTTTAAAATTCATCTATTCGAAAAAATTATAAATATGTATGATCTATTTTGAAAAATTGAAATGCTTTCAAATATACATATAAAAGAATCTGGGTCGTACAAAAAATGTTGTATATCACACGTACGGTAACGCTCATTACACCACTCGTGTGATTACCATGACTCGGTCTACGACCTCGACTTGTCAATATTTCCCACTCGTTACTGTAATGAAGCTCATACTCTACTAGTAATATAAATAACTATTATATATTTTAAGAAATTACAATTACTGATTTTGCCATTTTGATCGTTGTGGGGACTTCAGAGAGGGGCTTAAGTTTATATATTAAGTATATTTTTTTTTTATACGGTTTATAATAACGTGGTTGCAGCTTGCTAGACGATAGTTAAACTTTAACGAGGATTTTAACTTGACTCATAATTGGCCATTGTTGTTAGACTTTTATCATTGGCTTTAGACTCTTGTTTTTTGAAGGGTCTAGGGGTATTGGCAGTCTGGGTCTGTTGAAGTGGGTATTGTTTTTTGATTTTTTTGATATTTTTTTTTTCTCTTTTTCTTTATTCGCCATGTCTCGTTAAGTAGGGATTAATCGGCTTTCGAAAGATGAGTTGACTCATGAGCTTCAATGCAGAGGCATAGCTGCAGGCACGGTTGAGGAAATGAGAGGCCGTCTTGCTGTGGCAAGACAGATCGAACGATCAACGATCAGGGGAGAGCCCGCAATACCCTCCGTACCTATTCAGTTTTGCGGGCATATTCAAGCTATAATCAGTTAGTTGGATGAGTTGGATGATCAGCATGTTGATAACTTTACAGGTTCTGGCTCAAACCAGGAATTTTTAAGGTTACAATGGAAACTTATCCAATCCGATGTGATTGCTACTAACGATAGCGAAGGTAAAGTTCGGGGGGTGATATTGGTTGAGGTCTTATCACTCATTGAAAGGCTGAATAGGCTGCTACCGCGCCCCAACAACCTCGTCAGAAACCAGCTCCCTTGAGTTTATGCGTTCTTCAAAATAGTGTAGCGGGTCCATCTGGTTCAGGACCAATAACAACTTCTTCGCCTGTGAGTCCTTTCCCCCCTGCTGCACCACCTCACATTAGTTTTGTCATATCGGCTCACGTTGCTCAACCTTCTGTAACTCAAAACCTTCACGGTTTCGCTCCCATACTTCCACATAAATGGAATCTCAAATTCTCAGGTGACAAACGTGGCATGTCAGTCACAGCTTTCTTTGAAAGAGCTAGGTGAACAAGGCCATTCGTTTAAATTCTGGTATCGATTTTTTTGAGGGCAGAGCTTACGAGTTCTATCAGGATTGTCGCACTGAGGTGAATTATTGTGATGAATTCGTCCAGAAATTCAAGGAAGAGTATAATCCGGTTTTCTATACTGAGAAATTGTTGGAAGAGATTAAGAGACGTACTCAGGGTCAGGTTGAGACCATCGGAATTTATAGTGAGGACATAAAGTCCGTCGCCCCCCCTCTAACTTTTGAACCGCTCGGTATATTGCAACGAAATTTGAAATGATGATATGTGAGCAAATTCTGCAATTTTTGAAAAACAAATGACAGCTTCAGCTGTCAAAATGACAGCTAGGCGGAGTTTTGAAACGTTTTTTTTTAAATAGAAGACGGTGTCGAATGATATATCGTTTTAAAGGTTTCTTTATTCTTAATTTAATCCCAGATTCTGAAAACATTTGGTTTAGCGGTTTTCAAATGATGACGAAAAAACAAAGGCTTGTTTTGCTCATAAACTCTCATAAAAAAAAATAAAATAAAAAAAAATGTATCGGTTTTTTATTCATTATTGTTTTTTTTTTTCAGTAATAATAATGACGTGATGACATTGGTAACTTAAATAATGAATAAAAAACCGTGTTTTTTTTTATGAGTGTTTATGAGCAAAACAAGCCTTTGTTTTTTCGTCATCATTTGAAAACCGCTAAACCAAATGCTTTGAGAATCGGGGATTAAATTAAGAATAAAGAGACCTTTAAAATGATATATCATTCGACGCCACCTTCTAGTTAAAAAAACGTTTCAAAACTGCACCTAGCTGTCATTTTGACAGCTGAAGCTGTCATTTGTTTTTCAAAAAATGGAGAATCTAGTCACATATCACCACTCCAATTTTCATGGCGATATACCGAGCGGTTCAAAAGTTAGAGGGGGGAGGGGCGACGGACTTTATGTCCTGACTGGGCTGGTTGATGTCAAAGTACTTTTAGAGGTTGAAGTATCCAGTGTCGGAGGAGGCAAAGCTTACGCAATTCTTTTGCGTAATATTTCCCCCATTTACAGAAAACAGCTTGGTGCTTTGGAAATCATGTTTATCGCAACTCAAATCACTATGCAAACGCATTGAGCAACGTATGCAATCCGAGTATGCTCCATCCCCTCGAAAGACTAATTCCCTCGAGCCGGACTTGGCTTACATTAGCATGGAGCCTGTTGAATTGAAGGAGAGACTTCATGAGCTTAGTATGGTTAGGAGTGTTGAGAATGGTCGCCAGGGCCTTGGTCGTGGTCGTTATGACGGGGTTCGTTCACATATTCCTGGTGGGTCTTCTAAGCAAGTGGAGATTTATTTCCGATACAACAGACCGGGTCATCAAGCCATACGCTGTGCGGAGGCCAACTCGTGTGTGTTGGCTGCAAGAAAGAGGGTTTTACCAAAAGAACTTGTCCAAATTGCAACCAGGGAAACGGGAGGCGATTCTTTTAGTTAGTCGGACTAAGGCCCAGTTATACATCTTGGTTCGAAACATAGTTCAGCTGAACTCGACTGGTACTTGAACTTCCCCATTTGAAATGCATTGCTTCAAGATTGATAGAATTTGATTAATAACTGACAGCAATGTATTTTAAATGGGAAAGCTCAAGTACCAGTCGAGTTCAGCTGAACTCTGTTTTGAATCGAGATTGTACAACTGGGCCTAAGAGTAAAGGCCGAAACCCACTAGCAACACGCCACGCCATGTTACGCCACCCCAGGCCTTGTGATATATGTTTTACGTGGGACAGTTTGTGTGCAAATTTGTAACACGCCACGTGATGACACGCTCATTTTATTCTATAAAGTCTGTTTTTTTTTAAAGATAATTCCCCAAGTCAAAAATTTAGTAACTATGTTGGCAACACAAGCCTTTTCTTCACAAAAAAAATTGAAAACTTGACAATTTTACCTTGTATTGCCAACATAATGTCATTTTGACATTTATCTTTAAAAAAAACAGATTTTACATTTAATTTAGAAAAATTGTCATTAGTTTTGAGTACATTAGGAGTATAGAAGCAGTTCGTCTAGTGACTTGGAGTTTCTAGAAAAATGTGCTGCTGCGGCTCTGATTTTACAGAAAAAAATACAAGATCCTGGGTGCACCATTTGGTGGAACAGGAATCGAGAAAAATATGGTTCTGTACTATTTGCGACGCGACAAAATATTGAAGAAATACAGAAACAGCTTGCGGCGGGGCTAGAGAGGCGGCCGGAGAACATCTACACGTACCAACACGCGTGGGCAGCATCTGGGGATTTGAAATTGTCACACGTCGGGTGGCGTGGCGTGCCATGACGTGGTATGGCGTGTGGCAAGTGTGTACGCGGCACATGTAAATAAATGGAAGAATATACGCATACATTTTCGTCACATGGCATGGCGTGCTATAGCATGGCGGGGCGTGTTGCTAATGGGTTTCCGCCTTAAGCCAATTATTGTGGATCCGACGGAATCTTTTAGACCTCAGGGTGTACACTACAACAGAACGCAAGTACTTGGCATTACTCTGGGCCATTGAAAAGTTGAGGCCGTATATCGAAGGTATCCCGTTCACTGTCGTGACAGATCATTAAAGCTTGGTAGACTGGCACGTTGGTCTGTGAAATTGCAACAATTCGATTATAAGGTAGTCCATCGCAGCGGTAGTAATTTGGTTGTCCCCGGAATGCTGTCACTGGCTGTTCCAGTTATTGATTTGATTGATGAGGTCAAACCAATGACTCAAACTAACACCTGTTTTGACAAAAGATCGTTGGTTCCATAGGATGGTCGGTAGGGTTCTTACAGAAGGTTTGCTGAATGGTGTGAGAAGAAAGGCGTTCCTGGGAAATATACCGGAAATGTATTGCTGGCATATTTTAAGGAGAAGTCGAAGATATGGAAATCATCATTTCTGTGGTCCAATTATTCGATTATCAAACCTAGGCTACGTATACATAGTGAGGTAGATATCAGCAAACGAAAATTCACTTTCGCTGAAAAATCTTATTTGGATTTCTAACGAAAATATATGGCTCTCCGTCCAGCAAATGTCGGACATCGGGTCGGCATAAATACGTTCGGAAAAATGCCTGCTGATATAGCAGGATTTCTACAACTTCCAAATTCAATCCTCTTCACGGGACATTTTTTTCGCCGTTCCCCGGCGAGCTTACTTGACGATGTTGGAACAAATTTGACGACAATGAAGCGGAATGGGGGATGGAAATCCTCTACCGTTGTTGAGAGGTACAAATTCTATTGCCCGAAAACTGCTTACAGTGCAAAAAACATCAACAGATGTTGCCTCGAAATCAACTGGAAATGCGGTTGTTGCAGTTCTATCCTCTTAGACCTCCTCAATCACGGAGAGTGGTGTGGAAGGATTAGATTTATCAAATTGTTCACATTTTAAAATTAACCTACAATTTCCAAAACCGACACCTATGTCCGGAATTTCAGTGCAAACTCGCACTCAAACATTTAAGCAAAACTTTCAAAAAAGACCTATTCAATACACAATTAAGGAAGAAAATAATACATATTTTACAATTATTTCCAGTTGAACAAGATTTTTCATAAATTAAAATTTTAGAGAAGAAATTCAGCTTTCCTCTGGTGAAAACCAAGCAAATCAAAGTGAATTTGAATATCATTTTGAAAATCTTGACGAACAACAACTTGATGGATCTACAAATTTTTGTTAAAAGCCTCGGATTAGCTTTAAATGAATTTCAATTAAATCAATAACCTTTTATAGCAATAAAATTTCCACCTTGTAAATTATCAATTGATACTGGAAGTCATGCCTTACTAATGAGACCATCTATAGCTGAAAAATACTTTAATCAGTATATAACTGATACATAATCTAAACTATCCACATGCACGGGAATAACAACAATAATTAAAGGAAAAAGTTAAATTCCAATTTCAGAAAAAAGAAATGCTCATGTATTCATTTCATAATTATTTTGATGGAATTATAGGAATTAAAGCTCTATTTGATAAAAAATTAAATATCGATTTTGAAACTATGTGTCTTGTTAATGACCAAACATGTATACCATTTCAATTAAGAAGTAACTTTGAAATCAAACTATCGAAATACCTCCTAACACAGTTCAAAAATGTGAATTTCTCACGAGAATCCCAGACGGAACTAAAATAATAACTGACCTTGTAGCAGATGAAAATTATTATATTCCATCAACTATCAATACAATTAAAAATGGTAAAATAAATGATGATGTCTATAATTTGAAAGATAGAATCCTCACATTAAATTGTCATATCGATGATATTCAAGAAATATGTGAACCATTTGGAGAGGTGCATTATCAATTGTTTAACACAGAACAGATAATTACCCAAAAAACCAATGATTATAAAGAGAAAGCTTATAAAAAAACGTTCCTTAACCTTTTAAGAACTGATAATTTAAACTCAAGAAGTTGAAGCCTTATAAAAACTTGTAAATTCGTTTCCTAGAGTCTCTCACAAGCCAAATGATAAATTATCAAAAATCAAGTTAAACACGAAATTAAGACCAAAGACGAAATACCAGTTCACACAAAGACGTATAGATATCCACATATTCATGAACAAGTAAATATACAAATCCAGAAAATGTTAGCAGATAACATTATTCCACCCTCATGTAGACCGTGGTCCTCTCCTGTCTGGATTGTGCCTAAAAAGATAGATTCTTCAGGCGTAAAAAAATAGCGGATAGTCGTAGATTATAGAAAGATCAATGAAAAAACAATAGACAATCGATACCCATTACCAAATATAACAGACATACTTGACAGACTTGGAAGAAGTAATTATTTTACTACTCTAGACTTAGCTTCTGGATTTCATCAAGTTGAAATGCATCCAAACTCAATAAGTAAAATAGCTTTCAATGTAGAAAATGGACATTATGAATTTACTGGTATATATGTCTAATTTACATGGATGATTGTATTATATTTTACCTA